CTAGTCCATGGAATTCATAGAACATTCTTGAAAAGACAAAATTATAGAAATGAAAAACAGATTAGTGGTTCCAGGGCTTAGGGATTCAGGAGAGAGAAGGAGTAGCACAAGTGAGATATATGTTATGATGATATAGTTCTGTATCTTGTTTGGGGTTGTGGTTACACAAATCTGTACATGTGATAAAATGGTATAAAACTATTCACACATTATACTAATGTCAGTTCTCTGGATCTCATACTGTACTATGGTTATGGAAGAAGTAACCACTGGGAGAAACTAGGTGTAGGATATACAGGATGTCTCAAAACTATTTTGCAACTTCCTCTGAATCTCAAATGAAAAGTTAAAAAAAGTAGATGTGAGGCTATTTATATTTTTATATTTCTTCTTGGGTCATTATTGGTAAGTTAATGCTTTCCTGAAATTACTCCGTTTGTTCTAAATTGTTTAACTGAGTGTCATAAATTGCTTATCTATAGGACAGGTGAATGCCCACAAATTTAAGACCAGCCTGGGCAACATGGCGAAACCACGTCTCCATAAAAAATTAGCTGGGTGTGGTGGTACACGCCTGTAGTCCCCACTAGTTGGGAGGCTGAGGTGGGAGGATCACTTGAATCTGGGAGGTGTAAGTTGCAGTGAGCTGAGACTGAACCATTCCACTCCAGCCACTGTGACAGAGGGAAACCCTGTCTCAAACACAACAAAACAGGCAAACAAAAAACCCAGAAAACAAACCAAAGCAACATTACCCTTGTCTAACTTCAAGGTTTTGAAATGAAATTTTCTAAACATAACATGAAATTAAAATTTTATTCACAATTTAGATAAAAGATAGCCATAGTTTAGTGAAGTAAACTGTTTAAGGGAAAAGAAAAGGCTTGTACCAGGTACTTAATTATTCATATATTATTAGTTTATCTTTAGACAAAATTAAATGGACAGGTATATCAGCTTCCTGAGGGACAAGAAGAAGGAGTCCAAATGCCACATACCTAAGAGTTTGAGAGAAAATTCAAGGAGCCCACATCAGCCACTTAAAGGAAAGGCATGCATTGATGTGTGAGTACAGCATAAGGCAGAGAAATGTGAAAAAAGAATTCAGAGAGAGTTCTGCTTGGAGTATAGACAGACAGGTGGCATTAGCGGAGTTGACCCAAGGTAGTGAGACCCTAGACATTGGCTTGCCATTCTTATAAAAGGCAATAGTATCTGGCAGGGGATTAGTGTAATTCATAAGATTGAAGGCAGAAGCAGACACATAGTTCCTGGAACAAGGGAGGCTTCACTTAATGTTTACTGAATTGAATCAAATCAGAGAGAAGATAAGATGATAGACTAGTCCTTGGAAATGTTGAAGAGCAGTAGTTGATCATGAGGACCTATAAGTTTATCTTAATTATTTCTTCTTACTATTATGGACAGGGATGGAGGGTTGCAGCTATAGGTGATAATTATGCGGTGCCTAGGTATATCTGAGACAACCAATGTTATAATCCTGTATCCACTAGAATGGCTTAGCAAAACACACTGTGCAATTGACAGAATGTTTATGTCCCCCCTCCCATTTATATGTTGAAATCCTAATCCCCAGGTGATGGTATTAGGAAGTGAGGCCTTTGGAAGGGGATTAGGTCATGAGAGTACAGCCCTTATGAATGGGAATGCTGCCCTTATAAAAGACATCCCGGAAGATTCCGCACCCCTTCCTTCACGCGAGGTTCCATTGGAAACAGATGTCTGTGAGGAATAGGCCCTGTGCAGATACTAAATCTGCTGGTGCCTTGAGCTTGAGCTTCTCAGTCTCCAGGACTGTGGGATGCGAGAAACAAATTTCTGTTGTTTATAAACCACTCAGTCTTTGGTATTTTGTTACAGCAGCCCAAACAGACAAAGACTGAATATTCTTTGTTTCTCATTTGAAAGTTATGAAAATAGTACTGTCTGGCAGTATTGTTATGAGTAGTAATGCCCGGAGATCTGGATCTCACACTCTCTCCAATGCCTGCGAGTGGTTGGAACTGATGGTGATGCTGGATGGGGCATTCAGGCTTAGACTGAATTCCATATGAGTCTTGGTCACAGAAAGTTAGAGTTACCATATTAGCAAACAAAAACACATGACACGGTTAACTTCGAAATATTTCTAATTTCCTTGCGTAAGTGTGCTGTGATAAAATAAAAACATTGCATGCATAATGCTTACACAATGTATTTGTTGTTTGTAATAAATTATAAGCATCTGATTGGGTGTGGTGGTGGCTCATGCTCTTAATCCCAGCACTTTGGGGATTAAGGCAGGAGAATTCTAGAGCCCAGGAGTTTGAGATGAGCCTGAGAAACATGATGAAACCCTGTCTCTACAAAAAAATACAAAAATTAACTGGGCATGGTGATACATGTCTGTAGTCCCAGTTACTTGAGAGGAAGAGAAGTGGCAGGAGCACTTGAGCCTGGGAGGCCGAGGCTGCAGTGAGCTGTGGTTGTGCCGCTGCACTCCAGCCTGGGTGACAGCATGAGACCCTGTCTCAGAAAAAAATTAAATAAATAAATTATAAGCATCTATATTACATACCTCATTAGTTATATTTCTCTAATAATTTGGCTTTCCTCGACATTTTTTTTGTTTTGCAGAGTTTGCTTATAAATTGTTTTACAATTACAGTCTATCCTCCATTTGCATTATAGTATAGCTTCTACAGTGTCACTTTCAACCTGTTGAATTCTTTTGTCCATTGAATGTTGATTAGTGAGAAAACCTGCCCAACATCTGCCTTTCAAACCAGTATATTGAATATGCTATTGCATAAAGTTAACAACTCTGAGAATTTTTTATTTCAAATTTGATTTGTGGAAGCATATAGTACCATTTTTTCATGGCATAAATAGTTTACCCATTCTTCAGGATTATGTTACATCTCAGGCTCAGTAAATTTTTAAAAATATTGTCCACCGACAAAAAAAGGGCACTGTTATCTAATTTTATTCCCTTCTTTTTAACATTACACATGGTGGTTCCACTTGTTTCCATGCTGAAAGATTATTTTGTCCTATTTATGTAAAGTAACTGAGTTCGTTAAGGGTTGATATCCATTTCAAAAGATAGTCATGATAAGTGTTATAAATAATTACTTCAAGTCAGAATTTCTTTTCCTGTTAAAAAGTAAAGTAAGGCTTGCTCACTCAAGGAAATTGTTTTGTGGTCGGACTCATGTTGCTCCATGCTAGTGTGGGCATAACTAAAGGGCAGGTTGAATGAGGTTTGGATATTGCATATATATTTGAACAGAGGGTGTGAATGAGCAAAATTAAAATGACCGTGCATATGATTATGGCTGTTTAGAGGGACCAATGAGACCAGTATAAAGCTTATGGATTCTGAGACTTTAGGATTAACGGTCAAAATAAATGTGACTAACAATTCATTTATTAAGAACAAAGCATCGTTTTGAATTAAGTGTCACAGATTACTGCCACATCTCTCCATCAGATTGAGTGAATGCTAATCTCCATGTCTTGGCCATTTTACCTTGGTAGCATTCCTAAACTTGCTCCTCCCAGAGAATGTAAAGCTATAATATGTTACTGCTTTATGAGTTAAACTTTAATTAAATTGTATTAGCAACTTTGTTTTAATTGCTTCTGAGGGACTTCATCCCAAAAGTACTAGAAAGTTTTTAAATTCTGTCCAATCCACGTTGTGAGGTTTAAATTACTTTTGGGATTTGAAGCATCCTCAAAGCAGCAAACACTTTAAGTTGCTTTGATGCTTCATTGGCTGGTCTTTTAAAGAATCCTCTGCGAGTGAAAAGACTGCACAGAGCCCCAGCTTTCATCGTTACTAGAACTAGTTTCTATTTTGACAATGATTGGTTGGCTTTTACAATAGCAATGGCAGCTACTTGATTTTAATGAGAACTGACTGAGAAGCAGTTCTCTTAGTTATCTTCGTGAAATTATTGAGACGGAACTTATGAGGCTAGCAATTTGATTAAAAATGTAGGACTTCTGTTTTTGGCATTTAAATATAGAAAAACTCCATATTACATCAAATGGGGATACAAATAATTATAGCAAATTGCTGTGTTTAAGAACTTTTTGAGTGACCTACCTCTCATTACCATGGGTATTTCTGAATATGCGGTGAGAGGAAGATCAGCAGAACAGCTGTTAGAACAGAAGAAGCTGACTTCTGTGCAGGAAGAAGACAATATGTATTTTCTCATACTTAGAGGTAAAAGAGCAAATCCCTTGTTACTGAAATTCTTTAATTTATACATTTATTTATGGTTTGATTATAGACTAAGAAATGTACACTTGAGTTTTTCTGAGGTCAACTTTTTATTCATTGTGTATGTCAGGCAGAACAATAGGGTGACCTAGAAAGATTTCTTAATTTGTATTGAAAAAGACAAACAAGAATAATTTTATCTCAATTTTTTCCTTTATTATTTTATAAGTAATACTTCTCTAGTCAATATTCTTAGAATATTTCAGGTATTCATATATCCTCTAAGTTAGGAATAACCAAAAGTTCTTTTTACTAAAAAAATATCTTTTCTGTTTATTCTTTTAGCCTGCAGGACTCTTCTGAAATTAAGATTAAATTACCATTGAAGCGGAACTTTCACAGTTATTTTAGTAACTGAAGAACAGCAATTTTGTTAGGTACAATGTAGTGTGAAGAAAGCTATTTCGTTACAGATAATAATATTGGTTAAAATGGTCAGATATCTGTTGGCTAGTAATATTTCATATATTTTCTATTTGTTCTGGATTATTTGGTCAAAATATGGTAATATTGTATTAAAATAATTTTAAATTCATAATGCAAAAGATAGATAATTCTAGCTCAGTTGCATGTGTTCTTAATCTATCTTTTAACAAGAATATTCTTTTTGAGAGCCGAGGACTCCTTCATGAAGTCTGAAAGTCTAACTGATCTTAACTTAGAGGTCCGTAACATATTCTTATTCTATTTGTGTACCCATTTACAGGTCTTTATTACTCATAAGGGAAGCCATTCGAGAACGCAAGTGATTCTTACAGACGTTGGTATAGAAGATCCACCTTCATTCCGGCCACTACAGAATTTCTCTTGGTCAAAGAACATATTAGCATGGGAAAGTCTAATCAGTCTTTTGTGACAGAATTTGTCCTGCTGGGGCTTTCTGGCTACCCAGAGCTAGAGGCCATTTACTTTGTGCTGGTCCTGTGTATGTATTTGGTGATCCTATTGGGAAATGGAGTCATCATCATCGTGAGTGTTTATGACACCCGATTGCACACCCCCATGTACTTTTTCCTCAGTAACTTATCATTCTTGGACATCTGCTATACTAGTTCATCTATCCCACTATTTCTCAGCAGCTTCTTAACTTCAAAGAAAACGATTTCCTTCTCTGGATGCGGAGTGCAAATGTTTCTCTCTTTTGCTATGGGAGCAACAGAGTGTGTCCTTCTAAGTATGATGGCGTTTGACCGCTATGTGGCCATCTGTAGCCCTCTACGATACCCTATCATCATGAACAAATCTGCATATGTGTCCATGGCTGCTGGGTCCTGGATTGCAGGGGGCATCAATTCTGTGTTGCAAACATCACTTGCAATGAGGCTTCCTTTCTGTGGGGATAACGTCATTAATCATTTTACTTGTGAAATCTTGGCTGTCTTAAAATTGGCCTGTGCTAATATCTCCATAAATATTATTAGCATGGTTGTTGCTAACATGATTTTTCTTGTAGGGCCAGTACTTTTTATTTTTGTTTCATATGTTTTTATTCTCTCCACCATTCTGAGAATTCCTTCTGCAGAAGGAAGGCGCAAAGCCTTCTCCACCTGCTCTGCCCACCTAACAGTGGTGATTATATTCTACGGAACCATCCTTTTCATGTATGCAAAGCCCAAGGCTAAAGACTCTTCTGGTGCAGACAAAGAACAAGTCACAGACAAAATCATCTCCCTCTTCTATGGAGTGGTGACACCTATGCTTAATCCTCTCATCTATAGTTTGAGGAACAAAGATGTAAAGGCAGCAGTGAAGAGTATACTGTGTCAAAAATGCTTCTTAGAAAGAATGTGAATGCTTATTTATCTTTAAAATCATTTTACTCTGAATATAGGGCTAGTTTTCTCTTGGAGTTTCCAAAATAAATATGAGGGTTGATGATTCCATGAATTCCTGAAATTTTCATTTTTCTCTTCCTAATACTTAAAAGAAAGAGGGAAATCCAGGACTGAGTTATTTTTCTCTTCATGACAGAGTTAAGGAAAAGAGGGACAGAAACTTATGGATAAAAGGATTCTTATCCAAACCACCTTCCTTCTTAAGGCTAATAGAATTTAGTTCAATCCTTGAATGATAAATTTTATAATCTAAGAGGAAGTAACCTTTTACTAACTTAATATTTTATCCCATATCTACACCATTCTTAGGAAGATCAAGTAGAAAGCATCTTGCTAAAAATCAGAGTGCTATGTGACTTCAACAGTAAATAATTCAGAATGAAGTAGATTTGATCACGTAGAAGTAAATGGGGAATGCTGTAAGGTGTTAGATACCTAGCCTGTGTATATGTAATAGAGAAAGAAGAAATGGAAAAATGAAGCTATTTCCTAGGGATGATTTCCTTTTGGCCGCAAACTGGCAAGCCATCTTTTGTGCCGAGGTGTTTAAGTCAATGTGAGACTGTGCAGACAACCCAGCTGATGGGAAATATGGCCTGCCTTGTGTTTCAATAGATGAACAATGATGTCTTTGAGTGAAAAGCATTACTGTGAAATGATTCAAAAAACATTACTTTACTTCTAAATAACTTGATAGTATAATTCTCTGAGAACACAGTGATAATTGGTTTACTGTTATAAGAAGTTAGGTTTTTGCAATTACATGAATTTTCTATGGAATCTGAGCATTCCATTCATTCACTCAGTCATTTATTACTCATTTACTTATTCAGTCAACCAGTATTTACTGAATACCTATTTTTGTCTCAGGCATTGTGCTAAATATTGGTGATATAAAAACATATAAAACAACCTGGAAGCGACAGTGAAGACATGGTGAGGGAGCACTCTCGTGGAATACAGATTGACACATACATTGGAGATAAAAATATTAAAGAAAACTTATTTATGGCTTTTTCATCTCTCCTACCTTTAAGCTGGACTCTATTGGGTCTTTGTTGGGCTGAGCAGAATAATGGTTGGATTTATAGTAATTAAATAAGCTGACTGTCATATGAAAGGGCTTGAACCATCTCTAGAGAAGAAATAAGACAGTCAGAAAGAATTCAGTGCATACTGGAGATTTTGATGATAGAAGGACAGATATTTACATTGATACAGAATAAAAAGGAAAAATTACCTACATGGAATTTTGGGAAAGCTTTGATGCTGGTTTTATGTGACCCTACCTCAGTGTGTCTTGATAATCTCAATAAAGGTATACAACATTCTGTAAGATATTTGGTTATGTATTCAGTTTCTTTTGCAGTATCATCATGCTGAGACTGGCCACAGGATGAGGGTAACTTAAGTGGGTCACAGCCTTAGGTGGGTCACAATTACAATGCAGTAGGTTAAATGTTTTTGTAGGGGAATATGTATAAATCCCTCAAAGGGGAAGTCCCAGGAAGGGAGAAGCACTTCTACTTGGATAACCCAGGAAAAGCAATTCTCCTACTAACCTTGAAAGTAAGGATTTTCTAGACAGATGAAACAGTGCCAAGATGTAGAATACTACTAAGAATTTGGAATGGTTGGAACTTCGGTTGTGTTGTAGGGGCAGTGACAGAGAAGATTGGAAAGGTAGTTTGGAACCCAATTGTCAAGGCTTCAGATGCTGAAATAAGTCAATACCTCTATAGGTTTGAGGTGATGACCCTCTGTTATCTGGAGTTGCGGAGGCTGAATCAGGCCTACCACATATGTGAGCAAATTCTGAGAAGTCAGATCTGTGATACTCCAAACTTCCTACCTGGACCTACTTTTTTCTATTTTCTATTCCCTGAGGTTCTACATAATATTTTATTGGAAAATGAGTATTCTGCTGTGAGAAAAAGTTTTTGAACTACTGTGGTGAACAATAGAATCTACTAACAGTTATAAGAAAGAAACTGATGTTTTTGGATTGGTGCTTTAGAAAGTCCATTTAGGCACTGGGGATAATAGTTGTAAATCTCTTGCTGATAAATTCTCAGTCAGGCCTGTTTCACATTACTTCATTAGCCCCTAACACTTACTTTGTCTTCTTTCTTATAGGCTTCAGGGTACTGAGTACCTATCCAATTTCTTGGAGTTTCCATTCTATTCTTGACTGTTTATAAATAGACTTGAATTTCTCAAATAACTTTCCTGACCCTTTGGTTTAAATTTTTTACTTTAATTGAGGAAACAGAAGAAACAGAAAGTAACATGAATGGGAACATTACACAGATTTAGGATCCACACATATTCCTGCCATTATTAGAGAAAAAACATGGTATCCTAGACATTGTAAATGTGATATTGAAGCCATCCTAACAAAATTGACAAAACTAAATTGCTAGGTTTAACAAAAGCATAAGCTTTAAGTAGAAACATAGCGAAACATTAACCAGACTGCCCTATGGCCCACTTCTGTACAGCTGATTACTACTTAAAAGTCAAGTAGCTCCTATAGCAAGGTCCTAACTTGTACAGATAACATCTTTAATGTTAAGAAATTTCAAGTTTTCCATTTTGAGATATTTTCCAGATCCTGCATTCCGGTGGGTCCACTGATGCCAGCCAGTGTGAAGACCCTCTCTGAGGAACTAACTCAGCCCCCAAATGCAGTTTTTACATCTTTATTAAAGGTTTGATTCCACACATACTAAGCAATTAGCTCCTCAACCGCCTCCTAGCCAAAATTCCCTGAAAAATTTCAAGCCAAAACTCCTTGGAGAGGTGAATTTAAAGTTCCTTTCCACCTTCTCATTTGGCTACCATACAATCCTTCTATTATTTCTTTGCTGCAACTCCTACTGTTTTGGTGCATTGGTCTGTTACCTACATTACAGGCAAATCTGATTGTCTGAGAACAATATTGTAGAGGCTCTGAATACCATTAAATTCCTTGAATAGTTTTGATGTTTTCGCTTTAGGAGCAATCAGGTTTGACTCAAACTACAAACTTGATCTTTTTGTTAGCAATACATATCTCAGTTGAAGATCTCTATCTACATATCTGTATTTATGTTTTTACAATCAGCCCTCCATATTGATGTATTTCAATAACTTGGATTCAACAAATTTGGATCAAAAATATTCAGGAAAAAGCCAATAAAAAGAACAATATGATATGAATTTAAAAATACAACATAACAGGTGTTTACATTAGCATTTACATAGTAGTAGGTATTATAAGTTAACCTAGAGATGATTCAAAATATATGAGAAAATGAATGTAGGTTCTATGGAAATACTATGCTATTTTATATAGGGGACTTGAATATCTGTGGATTTGGGTATTCATGGAAGTCCTGGAATCTATCCCTTATAGATACCAAGGGATATCTGCATATATAAGTATTGGTATTTAGCTGGAATGTGCCTGTATGGTACAGGGGTCAATCAGAGAACTGGGGCAATTTTTTACACAGAATTTGATGTTTCCTCTGCTGGGACTCTGCTTTCTGGAATTCCTCTCTTACTTTATGGTGACTGTTTTGCCAGAACTCTGCTGGTTTGTCCAGAAAAAGCCATTTTATTATCAGAATTTCCAGCCTATTCTGTGCCTAGTCAGCCTATAGCCATAGAAATGTGAAACTCACACTAAAATGTGACTTCTAAGAGATACTCTTAAAAAATTTTTGCAGAGAGTTTATAGTTGTTATTTCTGAGGTGCTTGAGTCTGATGGGAGCTTATTCAGCCAAAGTGAAAGCAACAGAACTCAGAAATCCTCCCCTTTCCATTTTATAACTAGAGTGTACCTCTCTCTTTCTCTGTGTTGGCTTCCATGCTGATCCTACCTATATTATTTTCTAATACACCTCAAAATCAAAGTAGACTGATATTTTGAATGGAGAATATGTTACAATGAATAATAAATTTGAAATCCCCCTGTGGCCAAAGGTGAGCTTATCATAAGTGTTAAATAGCATGGAATAATTGAACAGATTCGAGTATTTTATTAGCCCATTAAAGGTTAAATGAGGCATTATGTGAAAGCAGATGGTTCATGGGAGGGTCTCTTTATATTTTATTTTCCTCCTTTTTTAAAAAAAATCTGGTCTCCTAGTCTCTTTTCACCCTTAGTTTACCTATAGTCCATTTCTCCCTTAAGCAAGCAAAATGAAAACTGACCTTCAGAGTTCATCTCCTTTAGCAGTCCTCCTTGATCACTTCCAGCTAAAAATGCTCCCTCCTCTCTGTGCCTTATTCAAACCTCCCAGGAATTTATGATTAACTACTTTATTTCCAGAACTCAGAGGACAAATGAGAAAGATAAGGAAGAAGATGAGAAGGCATATTGAAATAATGCATAATATTACCATAAAATGTGTTAGGTAACTAGGTAATTTGCATGTTATCTTTTAAGTTCTTGTTCATTAATTAATGCTAGTGGCAAGTATAACATATGATTGTCTCTCATTGCTTCATTCAGGTACAGATACCAGAATCCTTGTTTAATGTCCTTAATTTCAAGAACCAGAGAGCAAATGAGAAAAGCAATGGATGGGTTAGGCAGTATTGCTTAATTAATAGTATACAATGAGATGTACTAGCTGTCACATAAAAATTGTCTCTTAAAAATTGTGTTCATTAATTAATGCCTATAAATAATGTTAATATACATGTTGCCTTCATTTTTATGTTATTACTGCTCTCATGCATTCAGCACTGTGTATATGCCTGTTAGAGGCTGGGGATTCAATGCTGGATATGACACTTTCTCTGCATTCTGGGATTAGCTCCAGATGGCTCTATAAGGTGGATCAGAAAATTTAGGCTTATATAAAAGTCACACAGGTCATAAATGGCAGCCAGAATTTAAGTCTGTTGTTTGTCTGTATTTTCTATATTAATTTCAGAGTCAGTTTGAGGAATAAAAAGAATTATTTCAGGAGGACAAGAGGAACTGTGAGACATTCTTAAAAATTATTATAAAAAGGTTATTTTGCCTATTAATGATGGTGATATTTCTCTGAAGGAGAATTGCAATTTTGATTCTGAATTTTAGAGACAGATCTTGCTCTGAATTTTAGACGGTTCTTGTTCTGTCTCTCAGGATGGTGTGCAGTGGTGTGATCATAGCTCACTGCGGCCTGGAATTCCTGGACTTAAGCAAATCCCCCTCCAATTCCCACTTTGGCCTTCTGAGTAGCTAGTACCACAGGTACATGCCACTATGCCCAGGCTAATTTTCATTTTTTTAAATGTAAAGATAAGGTCTTTCCATGTTGCCCAGGCTGTTATCCAACTCCTGAGCTCAAGCTTTTCCTGCCTTGGCCTCTCAAAGTGCTGGGTGATTCTGAATTTGGATTTTGAATCAGAGTCTTTTCAAGTGTGCTACAAACTGAATTTCCTCTGTGGCAAAACCAAAAACAAACAAAAAACAACTTTTATTTTCCAAGGTATTTTGACAGTGTTCCAGAAATCACCACTCATATATATATATATATATATACACATATACCTATATATATACATATATATATATATGTTTAATTAATTAAAAATTTACTCTCTTTTTTTTTTTCTTGAGATAGAGTCTTGCCCTATTGTCCAGCCTGGAGTGAAATCTTGGCTCCATGCAACCCCTGCCTCCTGGGTTCAGTCGATTCTCCTGCCTCAGTCTCCCAAGTAGCTGGGATTATAGCGGTGTGCCACTGTGCCCAGCTCATTTTTTGTATCTTTAGTAGAGATGGGGTTTCACTATTTGGCCAGGCTGGTCTCAAACTCCTGACCTCATGATCCGCCTACCTCAGCCTCCTAAAGTGCTGGGATTACAGGCATGAGCCACTACATCTGGCCAAAAATTTACTCTTACAATCTCAGTTTATAGTGCAGAATTGGGAAAGGAATATAAAAAGGGTGATGATATCTTAAAAAACATTGCTATATGTGACTCAGAAGTCATTCCAAGCAGAAATTTTTATGAAAGAAAAATAGTCTGAATAAGGTTGTTTTTCATACAAACAGAATACTGTTTTTGATAGAGACAGAATTGCCAATATTACTCTAAGTAGACTTTTGTTAACTAATGTATTTTCTCTTTAACTGAATATTAGAGATAAATAAATATCGATGAGAATATTTGCTTTACGCAGATCCAATGACCTCTTTAGCATGTTTTACAATTCTTTTACTTACTTTTCTCTTCTATAGGCTTAAAGATTAGTTGCTTTCTGCCTCCCCCAGCCAAAGCATTTGACATTTTTGTTTGGGAATTTAAAAATCTAAATAAATCCTACCCTTTTTTTTTTTTTTTTTTTTTTTT